TTGTCTATTTATTTTATGTAAAATTTGTTCGTAACATCTGATAAGTTTGATAACATTATCATTAAACGAAGAAACAAATTCACAATATTGATCCATATTTTTTTAATATAATCTAAGCTTTCGGCTTACTTAAGCCATTATAAAGTTGTTTAATTTTTCCTTGGATATTTCGATTTGCCTTTTCACAAGGCTACATTTGTAATTACAAGTATTGATAGCATTGTGGGCTTCGGGATCATGTAATTTAAATTGTGTGTATTTAGGCAGCATATTTTCATTTATACACGTTTCATTAAATAATATAGACAAGTGTTGTCTATTTATTTTATGTAAAATTTGTTCGTAACATCTGATAAGTTTGATAACATTATCATTAAATATATATATATATAGATAGAGAGATAGATAGAGAGAGAGAGAGAGGGTGAGTGAGAGTGAGTGAGTGAGTGAGTGAGTGAGAAAAACATACAGAAATAAAAAAAAATTAATAGATTTTTATAAGCTGAGATAAATTTTAATTGACTGAGGCAGATATCTATCTATCTATATGAATACATACAAAATCTCCAATGAATTCCGAGGTTAAAATGCACCAATTCTATAGTAATTTACACGCGGTATTTACTCTGCCCCCCCCTCTAGGACGTGATGTCAGACAAGTTCTATTTTTAGGTGGGGACCCGAGCGCGTACGCCGGGGACAGGAACAAAAATTTCCCTCTGCCCCGGCAACTGTCGGATGCGGCGGCGTCCGTGCGAGCACTGATCCTTCCCTCTGGTGCAATGGGAAGGCTCGGCCCCGGACAGCTGTTCCCCAGGGCTGGGCATCTCTTCATTATGATTTTTCTCAATTGTCTCTCTTTCCTTTGACAGAGAAGTCCCTGAGTGCACTGTGCACAAATAGAAAGACGCAACTGAGAGATTGATAAGTAGACGTGAAATTACTCAAAAAGAGTAAGTTACACGGTGTATATTGGTTCCCCCACCAGGACAAGATGTGACACAAGGTCTTTTTAAATGGGGGAGCCGAGCGCGTGCGCACGGGCAAGGGACAAAAACTCCACTCTGCCCCGGCAACCGTCGTTTGCGCCGGCATCGGTGCGAGCAGAGATCCCTCCCTCTAGTGCAAGGGAGTGAGGGGGCGCGGCCGCGGGCGGCTGTTCCCCAGGGCTGGGTACCTCATCAGTATGATTTTCCTCATTTGCCCCCCTGTCCATTGACAGAGAAGAGACTGGGCGCACTCTGCTAGAGACAGAGACGCAACCATGTGATAATATGTAGACATGAAATTACACAAAAAGAGTAATTTACACGCTACAGGCTCAATATTTTCAGGTTTAACTAATTTGCATATTGATTTAAAAATATATATTTAATTTGTTAACTGTCCTTCATTACTGTTCTTTTATTCGATAGCGAGAGGATGAAACTTGCTAATACATATATATATATATATATATATATATATATATATATATATATATATATATATATATATCGATATAAAAATGCTTACATTTTGAACAATGTATAATGGTGGCAAATTCACCGATCAGTCAATGCCTATTTATACTCAAGGAATTCTTCCTGACATCGTATAGGACCATGTAACACAGCCAGTGACTAAATTCTGTTAAATTGCCGAATTACACAACGACCGTACGAACAGTTTTCCACATATTAAGTTTGCTCATATGTTTTTTTTTGAGTAGATTCATTCAAAATACATGAATCTATTTCTTGGATAAGCAATACCATTACAGAAATGCTGATAATGTATTTTCAAAACTTTTGACAACGTAGAAAGCAAAGATCTATTTGAACTGCTAGGATGACTTCGGAAGAAAAATTCTAAATATTTACTAAGAACCTATCGCGAATAGATAACGATGTGTCTTCTCAGTAGAATTGCTCAACCTCTACATCTTAAGAGAAATCACAATTCCTAAAAGAATTTATTATCAGTAAGCAGAATCTTAAAACTACGATAGAAACTTGACACAATTTTGATGACAGAAACACGAAGATACGACAGTAAATGAATGCGGGAACTAAAGATAAGCCAATCATTGTAACATATCAGAATGTATGGCCGTTAGCAAACGGGAGAGCCAAGATGCGAGCTAGGAATTGCTGACATCAAAATCAAGCTATGTAAATCTGGGAAGCTTTATAATAGACGAAAATAAATGTGACATTGTATTTCGATGGTACATTGGCGTAGTAAAAGTTTTTTTAAAACAGCCGAATAAAGTGTTAAGAAGCCTGAAGGTTTCTTAAAGTAGAACAGAAAGTTTACATTGCACTTAATGCTGGAAAATTTCCTCACAGAGGGAGAAAAGATTTCAGGCAAATTAGATGTTATACAGGAAGATGCTGGGAATATCAAGAACGAAAAATAAGAATAGGGATAAAATTTTATGGAAATGGGTACAAAACGATTACTTGTACATAGAATGAGAAAGAGTCAGCTGAAAATTCATCGACACATAAAGGAGAAAGGGAACTTGGAGAAATTAATACTCTCAAGATATACTGAAGTTAAAAGTAGTAGAGGAGAATGGGGTGCGTGAATGGATTGGAAAACAGCAACTAAGAAGGGTAGAAAGAGAAAAATATGCAGAAAGAATTGACTTTTGAAGGATGTCTTTATTTGAAAATGTCTAAGTAGCTTTTAATAGAATTGTACTGGAAATGGGAAGCAGAGTAAGTGGATGAAATTGCTTTTAACTGTGGAGGTTCTGATGTGCCGTGAATCCGGACCTCCTGAAGTGGCACGAGTAATTAAATAGAATACGAAATTTCTGTGTCTTGTTATTGTACATCAAAGATTGAATGTATAGCTTTGGGTTTGTTGATTGGTTTTAATTAGCGGCATATTAATGGGTATATTTAATGCCGAAATCTAAATACAGGTTCTTCAAATATTTAAACTGATTTTAATGTGAATTAAGTTTAAGCGTCTAATGTTTGTTCTTTTTTTTTTCTTCTTCTTTCAGGTTTAGCGGAGATTCGGGTGATATTATTTTTTACAAATAATTGTCATGACTTAAATAACATGATCCAATAGAGAAATAAATATTGTTTCACCAATAACAGTGATTTATTTACTGCTGACTTTGTTCCGTCTTAATGAAACACACTTAGATATAACCCGTCTTAATGAAATATCTTTTATTATTAAAACAATTGTATGGCTTCAAATAAATATGTATTGTAAACAATTGTATGAGTTCATCTACAGAAAAATGTGATGATTGTATTGTATTTCTGTTATAAAATGAATTGCACGTCAGTTTGCTTTAAAAGAATATTCTTAATAATTTCACTACAAATATGCAGTGTTTTGTAATTTTCCCACAAAATGTGATGTGATATATGAATTAAGCTACCATAATATGAATTTTTATTCAGTTTGCTTTAAAAGTGTATTGTTAGTAATTTTACTATAAATATGTATTTTCACTAATATATATATATATATATATATATATATATATATATATATATATATATATATATTCAAATGTGTTGCGAATATTTTGTACGATAATTATGTATTTTTATATATTCATATTCATTATTTGCCAATAGCTGGGGTCCTAAGAGATGCTACAACTTGGGGTCAGAATGAACCTGGGAACAACATCAATTAAGAGGTTTTGTCAAAAACGAACAGTCCAACATAAAATAAAGAATTAGAGATTAAATAATCAAACAAATAGAACAATTTATATATCAGAAAATTGCGACACTGAATTCCGACGGTGCAATCGGAAGGCAAAAAATGCTTTCTACAAGATAAGCTAAGTATTAAGAAACCAAATATAATCGTTAAGAACTAGAAAAATGGAATGAAAACTGACGTGACATTAGGCCTCTTATATGATAGACTGCACTGTAGCATGTCTTCACAGATGAAGAAGAAAATTGACGCATTGAGTAATTATGTGAGAGATAATACGATAGGCCGAATATGCAATCAACGACGAAGTTTTACAGAAAATAGAGACAAAACGTTACTAATAATTAAAAAAAGGATGAGTTAGTTGAAATTATCGAGCACAAGTGGAAAGAAATCTTCGAAAATCTTCGAAAATCTGATACAGACAAGACAGACTGAATGATAAAGAAACAGATTAAAATGTCTAAACTACCTAAAGAGCCTGAATAAATTTATAGTAGGACAATGTTTAGGAGAGATAACAAAATGACAACATTTTTAAGAGCAGCAAAGGTTAGAAAATTTTGGAGAACTACGATTCTTAACGTCATGAAGGGAAATGTTACTTAACATAATTTGTTAATTCGCATTAACAGCTTATATATCATATTTTCAGCAAAGTTAAAGAGGTCAATGTTGTTTGTTAGATCCCTTATTGATGATTCTAAATACATTTTCAATTTGAAAAAGTAATTTCTGACATAGATTGTATACAGATTCACATTTCATCAGTGACATTACAGGTTCTATTATAACCTCTCCTGCCACATACTATCATTATCTCAATAGGATTGTATTGTCCTTGCAGAATCATTATTTGATGCTATACCATGATTTATATCTCTCTGCAGTTTTTGATTTGAGAGGGTCAGCTAATATCACATGTAATCAAGAATATGGAAAGTGTTCAATAATTAGCACTGATATGGATTGATAGAACAATATGAAACAAACGTTCCTCATTCAAATAAAAATAGGCCTTATTTTATGCAATAAGTTTGAATAGCATAGCGATAGATGTGCGGCATTGCAAACACATTTTCTTCTCTGGGATACAATTACATAACTGTCTTTCGATCTCCCATATATATAATTGTGTATTTGGCATCAATTTCAATTTTATAAACTTTATATTATAGACAATTGAGAATATGCACCGATTAGGTCTTTAATGAAATTTATACGCTTGCAATACACATATTATTATAGTGGAGAACATACAGACGCAAAAACATGCATGCGCACACACACACACACACACATAGATTCACATGAAAATGCTCGCACACACATACACACACGACTGGAAAGTCCACCACCATCTATCTATCTATCTATCTATCTATCTATCTATCTATCTATCTATCTATCGTTATATATATATATATATATATATATATATATATTACTTAAATGTCAAATCATGTTTGAAATAAAAGATCTGTAAAAAGTTAACATTTATACTCCTCAAAATTCTTCGTTTTAAATTTTGAATATATCTTCAAGACTTGAATATATAGATTATTTTTATTTCTGGATTCTCAGTTTTTCATTAAATATTTTTTCCTTTCTAATAATGACAGCTAATCGCACATCAACAGTGATGTAAAAGAGCTGGCGATCAAATTTATATATATATATATATATATATATATATATATATATATATATATATATATATAAACACACACACACACACACACATATATATATATATATATATATATATATATAAAATATACACATTTAAAAACATATGACAAATAAGCCTATTTTCACACATATCTAATCAATATATATATACATCAATATATGCATGATATATATATATATATATATATATATGTGTGTGTGTGTGTGTTGTTTGTGTGTGAATAAGTAAAAGAAAGAACAGTAAATTTAATTCTAAGCTTTTAGCTTCCATTTTTGAAACATTGTTAGAACTGTGTAGCGAAAAACCATATTTTAAATCAGTTAATTTATAATATATATATATATATATATATATATATATATATATATATATATATATATATATATATATATATTGACGAATATGTGTAATAGATTGCAATTATTAAGTTATGACCCTCAAATATTTATTTGTTTTTTTCTGTGAATTGCCATGTCTTCTTGACATTAGTCTTTTACCCTTGACTTTTTCAATTTTCTATAATCACATTTGTTTTTTTTTAATCTATTTAAAGATTGACTTGCTATTTAGCATAGCGAGCTAAAAGAGATATCCGAGCATTTAGTGACACTGAACACAGCATACCAAAACGGAATTTGATGCCAGTTCCCGATAAAAAAATGTGAATTTTGGGCAAGAATCCCTTTTTCCTGGAAGCTGATTGGCAAGATGCAGCGATTAATTTTTATTCAACTTTTCTTGGGTTCGTATTATTTTTTCTTTAGAAATAATTTGTGGGTCCTGTCACAGTAGATAAAAGCCTTTGTTACATCCAGTGACAGCAATCAATGAGTAGTGAGTTCAATACCTGGCTAATGCAGTGAAAAACATGGAGAGGGGAATAGGAAATATCTGATAAGTGACATCCATTAGACATGGCAAGTAGAACTAGAACAGTCTACCATAGCGAAATGGTACAGTTCGATATTCCAACCAATTGAAGTAGGCCGAAGCATACATCGGTCGAAACGTTGTGTTTAAATATGGCAACAAAGATGAGGACAATAGTTTGAATAATGTCAATAATACCTCATCTCAGAAATATTGAAATATACCGCAACTTTTACTTGGTACTAATTTTTTTTTTTAATTGAAGTGAATTTTGTCTACCCACTTTTTAAAAACTTTGTTTCAATATTAAATCTTTGATTTTGTCTTGTTCAAGCAAATATTGGGCATTATTTTTATTCCTGGATCACACACGTAGAGTCTCATAATCAACGGTCATTGCATGTTAGCACTTAAACTAAATTGAAACTTTATATTTCAGTTTCAACTCAGGATGACATGCGCGTTGTGGATCGAATTCTTGTTTGTTACATGTTTCTTTATTTTTGTTGATATTCTCTTGTGTAATAAGACTAGATATTACTATCGCCTGGTCAATACACCTCCCGCTTCTTTTGAATAGGAGTAGAGGCTAATCTCCTTTTCACTGTCTAGGAATGTGCGCCCTCATTATTCAGTAATAGTGTTATAGGGAATCTCCAGTGATTTGTGCGGTTTGTGGTTACGTTTCTTCATACTGAGGTAACTGGTTGGCGGTTTTCTGGTTGCTGTTCCTGACTGATATTTGGGAGCCCGAATACTTGCCTAGCGTCTAGAGAGGCTGCTCTTCTCAACAGTTGCATAATAACGGTGTTCATGGAGTGCCATGTTACGCATGGAAGAGTGACGCATGTCCAGCGGGCAACCCTGAGGCCTCAATAATTTACAGTCTGTGCAAGTTACATTCAGCCCATGTCATATACGATGACCGTCTGCGGGTTATTACATTAGGCTTTTTCCTTACAACATAACTCAACATGACCATAAACAACCAAAAATAAGAACATAAACCAGCTCAAAATTAACCACCTAAACCATTTAACATTTCCTTCTCCAACATTCGTGATATTTATAACAACTTCTACAGTGTCGAATCGTTCCTCTTCGAAAAGTCTCCTGGCATACTAGCTGGTTAGCATCCAAACCCGTAACGTCAATCATTCAATCTCTCACGCAAGGAGCTGATTTTCATACACAGTTCCCCAGTAAACCTGACGGTAACGCTTCAATTTTCGATCTCTTTTTTTACCTCCATTCCTGTCTCTTGTCGCGCTGCGAAGCTCTGTACCCTAGGCAAATCAGACACACCGTCGTGTCTATTAACATTCCCTTGTCTTATCAACGCACAGAGTGGGACTCATTCCGTGATTTCATCCGCGACGTACCTTTGAATGTGTTTTTTCATCACCCCGTTCAAAAATGTGCGTTTGACGTCTCGTGCCTGGTTAAAGGCGGCATTGAAGCTTTAAACCTGGCATGAAAATACAAAGTTGAATCACTCTCATCTTGTGGCTTGTCAACTGCTTGCTCAGCTGCTATAGCCCATAGGAATCACTTCATCTGTCTGTCCCGGAACGACATGTCTGATTGCAAAAGACGTCTATTTGTATCTGCTCATAATGAGTACAAGCTTGTCCTCAATGAAGCAAACTTACTATTTGCTCATAGAATGATGCAAATATTGTATCTCGCAAGTTTGTTTCTAAAGATTATTGGCGGCTCTGCAAGAGTGTGCTGAATGATAGCAAATCCACAATCCTTCCACTATTCAATCAATTCTAAGCCCTAATTTCTTTACCTAATAAGGCTGAATTATTTGCTCGGAAAGTCTTAACCAACTCAACACTCGAAATATGAAGTAGCTTATTTTTCCTCTACAACTGAGGATTTATTGAGTGATATTAACATAAACCATTCGATGGTATTTGGCATCATCTCTAAATTAGACTCTCATAATCTGGTGGCAACGGGATGACAACCGTATTCTTAAAGAAACATGCTCCTGTGCTGGCCCATGTTCTCTCCAAATTATATAACTATTGTGTCGCTAACTCTTGCTTTACATCTTGTTGGATGTCCTCATCCGTTTTACCTTTTTTAAAGAACTCTGAAGACTTTTCTGACCAATGTAAGTACCGTCCTATCAGTCTCCTACCACACGTCGACAAAGTCTTCGAGGCTTTAATCTATGCTTCTATGATCGACTCTCTGACAAACAATATGCTTTCAGCTTTGCCTGGTCTACCGTCGACGTGTTTACGGCCATAACTGAATTTGTAGACCAAACTCTTCATAATTACAGGAAGCTCGAGTTGTAGCTCTAGATATTTCTAAGGCGTTTGATAGGGTTCAGCATGCCGGCCTTCTACTTAAGTTTCAAGGATAGGGTATTACAGAACGATTATTTGATTTAGTCCATTCATTCCTGTCAAACTTTGGAATGATTTACGTTCTCAACAGGTTCTCCTCCAGTTCTTTTCATACGAATGCTGGTGTTCCCTAAGGCTCTATCTTGGGTCCTACAATATTTCTGATCTTCATTAGCAATCGTCCGGACGTCAGCAGTTTTCAAGTAGGAATCTACGCAGACGACACTAACATTTACTCCTGTCTCAATGGTTAATCCGGCATTGCTGAAAAAGTTAACCTAGCCGTTGGCATACAGTTTGTGTGTAGGAAACTTTAATGCCTCCAAAACGGGTCTGCTCTCATTTACCCACCAAAGCTGATGATCAACTCCTTGAGAGCGTTTGCGCCTTCATTGTCTCACGTTTTCCCTTGACCTGAGGTGGAACGATGGAAGCTGCTTATCAGAATTTTTTTCTCTTCTGAGTCCATCCTTTAAATCTACAAATCTACCATTCGTCCTTGCAAGATATAATGTTTCCATATATGGTATAGCGCCCCCGCTCTTGATCTCAAGATTATCGAAAAAATCCAAAATCCGGATATTCAATGTGATATGTCCTGATTTGCCAAAAGTCTAGATTAATAAATCCTTCTAAATCAGAACTAGGTCTAATCTCAAAAGATATAATTAAAAAAATAAACGATCTACTCCTAATTACAAACTGTAATAATCTCTTTAAGGATTCGTAAGATATAATCAAATGGTTAGACAATATAAGTGAAAAGAATAAGCTACATTTATTAAGTTTGATATAATAGATTTTTATCCCCTCTCCTCCAGGAATCTCTCGGTTAATTGTATCATCTTAATGATGAGATTAATATAATCTTAACTGTTAGGAAATCATTGTTAGCACCTAACGATTCTACCTGACTCAGTTCCGTAATGACGATTTTCATATCACTATCGGAGCATAGGATTCAACCCAGGTTGAGGATTTATTATATTTTTATATTTTAGATACACTTAGTAGAATTTTATATCCAAATCTAGTAGGCCTATATAGAGATGATGGACTAATTTTCTTACCTAATAGTAATGGTTCACTAACTTTGAAGTTATAAAAATTCTTAGGTCCTTTCATTTACTATCGTTTATAAATGAGATTTCTTCTAACATTGAAATAGTTGATTATCTAGACATTACTCTTAATTTAGATAATAAAACATTTAAACCTTGCCATAAAGAGAATGAAAACTCCCACCTATATTAATGTCAATTCTAACCAACACAATGTCATTGTAAGACAGATGCCTAATACTAGCGGTACAAGAATCAGCAGAGTATCGTCCAACATAAACAACTTTCATTAAAATAATGAATTGCACGAAAATATTCTACATACATTTGGTTTCAAAAATAAATTATCACATATAACACCCATGATTAACACTGAAATATGTAAAATGAAATGTAGGCATATAAATAGAAATAGAAAAG